AAGGATTGTTTTACAGATCTCTATGATATAACTGTTCCCCCACATGTAAACACGTATCTAGATGTGATTTAACTTTATGTGGGTCAACAAGATAATCTACAGCTACAAATCCCGTTAAAGCATATAATGACTTTTGAGAATAAAATAATCTCAAATCAATAGTACCATTTAGGTAACAAAAAAATGTTTAACAACATTCCAATAGATTGATGTATAGTTATATCTTGTAATGAGATTTAAAGGAAAGTTATATTAGATCGAGTGTAATTTGCTAGATAAGTTAATGTTCTAATTTCACTAGGATATGGTACTTCAGAGCCAATAACATTTTCTCTATCTTCAAGTGAATGAAATTGATCTTTTTTTCTCATGAAATGATTGAACGACCATAGGTTATGCCAATCCGTACATTATCTATATAAAAACGTTTTAAAACTTCTTCTGTATATGTAAATTGAACAAATAATTCTTTTGGGAAATGTTCAATCTACAACCCGAGTCAGAATTTGGTTTTTCTCAAATCTTTCATTTCAATTTCATTTTTCAAATAATCTACAATTTTATTGAGCTCTTCAAGAGTCCAATTAAATTAAATCATCAACATAAACTACCACAATTAAAAAATCCAATATTTTTTTTTATGAAAATACATGGGCATTTCTTCAACAAATATTCGTTAAGATGATTATACTACATGTGTCATTTTTATTTGGTCAATCATTACTTTATCAATATATTTTGACGCATTTATTTTGATTCCTTGAAATTTGATACAGTACATCATGTGCAAAATTATTATCAACATATTTTTTTCGATTCTATTTCTTTTTTCGTAATGACATACTTTATTGAGATATTTCAAGTTTCATTATTTTAATTATTTGAACCTCCTCTGAGGTTTTATAATTTGTTATGTCTAAATACTAATAAAGGATATATGTCTCCTTAATGAATCATCTTTACTAATTGCTCCATTTTCGTTTAAAGATTTTTTATATTAGAATCAAACACCATCACGCTTCAAGTGTGTCATGGATATATTAAATGTAATATTAACAAATTGTTCTCATAGAACATCAATTTATGTTGGAGCATTTAAAATTAATGTGTGAGATATTGTTTTGGTAAGTAAATGTGTCTAAATAAATTATTTTTTAAAATTCTAGCTCGAATGATATTTGCGAGGATTTAGATAATGATACATTTATATATTATTTTCAGTTTTTTAATTCCTCCCTCTAAATGTTGAGAGAATTGTTCAATCAAATTGACAATTATTTTTTCAGCATTATAAAATACCATTCATTTGGGAAAAGGGTTTAGACTACGCATTTATTCTCAGTATTCTTTATTTTCCATTTTAGTACTTTGTGGTGATTTAATTTTACATATGCTGCACTATCAAAATAATCTGATGAAAAAAATATTCTCCAACCAGAAGCTATTTATAATGGTGAGAACTATAATGTTGGCATGATGTGTAATAAAATTACTTAAATAAAAATATGAAGTACTTTGTTCTTAATTAAATTAATTGAAGATGTTTAACAAACCATGATGTTAAACCATTTATCGGCATCCTAATTAACAATCATTAAAATATTGAGATTTATGCCTACTAACATTAACAAGATATAATATTTATTATATAATTTGAAAATTATGTTCATAATTTAAAATTTAAACAGTAATTTTGCAAATTTCAAATCGCGAACACCATGTAATAATCTAGTATACGTGTCAAATATATTAAATACAAATAATATTTAGTTAATCAACATAGAGGATGATAGGACCTATTTACCAACTTAATTAATTTTCAAAAATATAAAAAATTCAATCCCAATTTTAACTAGTGATGGTTAATGAAAAATTTCATGAAAAAAACAATCATATATGATTGAATTGAAGAATCTTCTGGTTCTTCATTGAATATCCATTTGAATTTTTAATTTCACGTCATTATTGATCCAATGATGATCCAACTGGTCATGCCTAACAATAAAGTCAAATTGAACTTTTGGTTCAATATAAGATATAATTCAACGATTTAATTTCGAAAAATATGATTAAACCTTTTATAATCATATACCATCCAAATAGTCAAACTAATTAATGTCATGATGACATTAGTTATATGTTTTCTTTCAAGGATAAACATGAATTCAAATGATATGTTCTTTGAAAATGTGATATTTTGAAAGTATACTATCTTTAATTATTGCTTCTTCAAGAAAAATATGTCAATATTGTTCTAGAATATTGAAAATTATAATTTATTCTCTTCAAGAGCGATAAATTAATATTCTTCTTGAATATTAATAATATAGAAAATTAGCTTTCTTTAAAAATTAAAACCCAATACTAAGTTGTTTAATTTATGTTTCTTCGGGAACACAATGAGATATATATTATTCGGGATATGTGCTATTTTGAAAGCACGCTATATTTTATTATTACTTATTTAATAAATAAATCAATATTCTTCTAGAATATAGAAAATAATATTATGTTTAGAAGCATTAAATATAATATTCTTTTGAAATATTAATTATAATATTGTGCTACTTCAGGAGCAACAAATATGGTAATTATTAATTTAAAGTTTAAAGAAAAAGTCCAAAAAAATTTAATTACTATATAGATATGATGTGATATATAGAAAAATTAATTACCAAAAATGCAAAAGTAAAAAAATTTCAAATATGCATGACTTTTCACATATATAATGAAATATGACAAGGTAATTATTATGCATATAATAAAATAATCATTATAGATTTACATATAAGCGGAAAAAAAAAACCACATAGAAGAAGTAGAAAAAGAAGCGGCTTCGTTTTGATGCATATGTATGTAGAAAAATTTACATGTCATCAAATTAATTTTGGTACACGTGATAAATATTTATACTTATAAAAAATTACTATCCTCACTAAACTTAGAAATATTAAGCTATTATGCTGATAATGAGTTATGCAAAGAGATAACAAGAGAAGAGGGGATAAGAGTCAGTAGATTTGTATGTGTTCTATTAAAAATCAAAATCCAATTTTTATAAAGTAGAATTAGGGATACAGCGGGAATAATTTCTAAGGCTGTAGATGTACAATTGTCATTCACTAATAAATCCCAATAAACTTACAATTTATAACAAAAATATTTTTGTCTTGAGAATGTTTTAAGTATGAGTGAAAAATAAGTGAGTTTGAAAATAATCAATTTCAAACAAGGCATAATAAGAACATCGAAATTGTTTATTTTTTTTATTTAGAAAAAATAATTGAACTTAGACGTGTTTTTGCAAGATTATATAATCATTTAAATAAAGTATATTGCTACATTATTAGATTTTTTTTTACTATTGTTATGTATTGATTATAAAAGGATTATTTTAATTTTTTTAACTTTTATTTGAATGTAATAATTTCCTAAACTTAATGTACACTAAGTCTATGTTTGTCTCTCTCTAAAACAAATTTTTCTAGATCTAATACTCATTTTCAACTACACATTTACACAATAAAATATTTTATGCATAAATTTAAAAAAATTTCCTACTTTTCAACCACATATTCTTCAAAAAATTAATACTCAAAACATCATTTTTCTCAATAATGACCATCAAACACCCCCTAAGTTCTAGGACTATATAAAAAGTAAAATCAAAGAAATTGTCGCTAAATCGAGCTATTTTAATATTAGAAAAAATATAACTACGGGGACCATACATGTTGATATGTACAAGAGCATGTGTTTGTCATGGAAGATAAAAGATGGTCATACTCTTGGTAGCTAATGGTGCTAATCCCAACCCAACAAAAACTGAGATAACAACTTGGTTTTCCTCATAGTATATGTGGGAAACAATATCTCTATCATTGCAAAAGCGATGTCTAATGTGTTAAAGAGTGTCCTGGATGAGCGGTGTTGTGCACACAGCACCGTTTACAGCCCCCTCACAGCTCGGGCTCCCCCTCCCCCCCCACACTTGTGAGGGGGCTATAGCCCAAGCTGTACAGCTCGGGCTGTACAAACAGCAATTTCCGTTCTGGATAGTCCATGATCCTCCTCTACTAATCTACCTCAATCCATAGGTTCGATAGTCCAAGTCATCGAGCTAAAAGTATCCCATCCAAAACAGCCCATAGGTCAACCTCGTGAATAGAATAATTGCTACAAGAGGAGGATAATACCAAGATTCAATGTTCTACCTCCTCCCAAATATTTCCCCTGCCACCAAATTCGACTTTGACGCCAAATTCGACTTTGACGCATCCATCAGGTTTGTTCTTATGGTATCCAATTGGTAGAGTACGCCAATAGACAAGAATACGGGGTGGTGGGATGAAGTAAGAGAGATACTGAATAGTGAGGCGATGTATTTCAATAGCAATAATAATAATATACAGATCAAAATGTTTAACTAGTAACTTTTCGAAAATAAATATAATAACCTAACTACTGGATTAAACATGTATATGACTATGAATCAAAACTGAACAATAACAAATAGAAAGTGGGAGCTTCAAAGTTGGTTAAGTACGAAAAATAAATGGGCAGATAACACTCTCAACAGTAATTGGAAAAATACTTTTGCTAGGAAATTAACCACCCTTGTGGAGCTTTCTCGATGTGGATCGATGTTTGAGAAATTTACAGTAGGTAATTAATAATTAAATATACTATGTATTTACATATTACATTTTATTTGTAGTAGTAAAAACAAGAGTTTTATTTTTCAGTAATTTTTATATGTGCTCACTTTTTTCATTACCTGTTAGTTAATGATTGTTTCGAAGAAAAGTTCTATATTATCTGCAACCAAAATTCTCTTTAAAGCCATTCTCATTCGTATCAATTTCAGCAAATCGACCAAGAAATTTAGTTACTTTCTCATCTCTACACCTTTCCGTCCTTTTCAAGCAGAACACAGTGGTTTGGACAAGTTGAGAACTAGAAAGAATACGAATCTCACAAGAATTGAAAGAATACGAATCTCACAAGAATTGCCATCCTGACGTGATGCGAAAATTGATCCAATGACTTGTTACACTGTATTAATGTAAAAGGTGAATCCATTTTTGTCCATTTAACCAGGACATGGCTGAAAAATATTCTCTTCATCCTTGGTTCTTCGCTTTGGAGAAAAAACAGAATTTTGTAACTCCATTGAATGGCCACGGTCCAAGCGGACAAAACTGAACCTCCCATCCGGTACATAGCCTTCATCTCTCATGTGTCTCAACAACTCTGATAATATACCATAAATATCATCACCTTGTGGATGCACTTGATCAGCAACTACAAAACTGTGGATTTTCTTATCAATCTCAATCCAACTTATCCCCGTCTCTTTCGATACTCCCTTCTCCTTCATTTTCTTCATTGCTCGTGCTCTCTCTCTCCAATGGCCTTGAGAAGCATAGATATTTGCCATTGAAATGTATGGCACGGGACTATCAGGTTCAGCCCGAGCTAGTTGAACGGCAGCGTACTTTGCTGTCTCAATATCACCACGAATGCTAGCAGCACCAAGTAATGCTTGCCAAACAAGTACATCTGGCTTTACACTGAGTCCGGCTATAAAATTCTTGGCTTCATTTATAAGACCTGAACGACCAAGCATGTCAACAAGACAGGCATAATGCTCCATTCTTGGATGCATACCATAATCTTTTACCATTGATTCAAACAACTTCAAACCCTGGTGAACTAACCCTACATGACTACATGCGTGAAGCAGAGATAGAAATGTAACATCTGTCGGTTCTACTCCTTCTAACTTCATTTCTTCATGTAATTTAAGGGATTTAAAGCTATCTCCATGGCGAGCAAAAGCTGCAATCATGGAGTTCCATGAAACTTGATTCTTTTGAGGGATTTGATAAAAAATCTTGGCAGATTCCTCCAACTCCCCACCCTTGGAATACATGTTAATTAAGCCATTGCTGACGAAGACATTAGAAGCAAAGCCTTTTTTGATTACTAAAGAGTGAACTTGTTTACCGAGACCTAATGAATTATCAACCACATCAACTACAAGAATCGCGGAAATCATGTTTGGATCAATCTTGGAACCTTCCTTCACCATCCTTGTGAACATCCGTATAGCCTCATCCTCAAAACCATTTTGTGCAAAACCCACTAGTATAACAGTCATAGAAACCTCATCAAGCACCTCAGCTGACTCAAATATCCGCCACGCATCCTCCATGTTACCACACTTTGAATACATATCCATCAATGCACTTTCAATACACAAATCCGATCGTATACCCAACTTCCAAGCAATCCCATGTATCTGGCAACCCTCCTTGAGCGCTTGTAAGCCAGAACATGCCAAAAGCACACTTAGATACGTCAAATAATTAGGAACCACCAACTCAAAGTGCATTTCCACAAACAACTTCAAGCTTTCCTCATAGTATTCATTTTGAGCAAGACCAGAAATTGCAGCTGTCCAAGTAATAACATTTCTCTCCACCGTCTCATCAAAAACACCCATCCCCGAATCATAACATTTACATCTAAAATATGCGGTTATCAAAGCATTCAAAACAGTTATTTCATTTTCATAACCATTCGAGGTTACCAAACCATGAATCATCTTCACGGTTCCAAGAAAACCAATCCCATCACAAGCCGACAAGATCGTAGTCAAACTGGCATGATCAAATCGATATAACCCAGAATCAAACATTGACTTGAAACAACCAAACCCAGATTCTAGCTTCCCGTTTTTCAAGAAACCGGATATAATCGAATTCCAAGAAACAGTGTCCTTAAGCGGCATTCTATCAAACAGCTTAACTGCATCACGAACCTCCCCACATTTGCAGTACATAGAAAGTAGGGAGTTGTAAACTACATAGACATTTCGGTTATTAAAAGTGTTTCTGGAATCAAGGACTGGTGGGTTCTTGATAATATAGGCGTGGAGACAAGATCCTACACGAAGATTGCCTCCGCTTCCACAACGGGAAAGAAGGCGGCTTATTTCTATTACATTGCTCCTGAATGTAGCTGAAGTGTTTGATGAAGATGGGTTTGGGGAAGCCGACGTCTTGGAGGTGGAAATGAGAGAGAAAGAGCAGTACCCCGATGGAAACTGAGAGTTTAGCTTTGAGAAGATCCATTTAGTAACGCTCATCCATGAAAGTTGGAGAGAAAACACACAAATTCACATAAGCTTCCTATCATTCAGTGTTGGGGCAAACGCATGACCTAGTTAGCCATTGTTTCACCTTGGGAAAAATAGAGTTTTAAATATTGATTTTTAAGACATGTATTTAAAAAGTACGTGCAGAATTCACATAATTTTAAGATACACCACGATTTTACAAATGATACTAAAAATGTCATTTTTGAGTGTGAAATGTCCAAATCACCCTTGGATATACCTTTTTTTGTAACATTTAATGATAATTAAAGCCAAGGTTTGATGTTTTGACTCGTGCTATAGCAACCATTGGATTTATATGAGTTAATTGTGATAATATATTTATTTGTTTAATTATTTAATTAATATTTCGTTTCCTTATTAGCTTAGTTTCCTTACTAGCTTAGGTCTCTTTGTAATCTATTAAATCATTGTAAACCCTAATTCCTTAAGTGGCTCAATTGTTTTTTTTCTTCTTCTTTCTCCTTCTTTGATTCTCTATATGTGTTTGATTCTATAAATTAGATTATATGTTATCATGGTATCAGAGTCAAAATATATGTGTTAAGGTTGTTCTTTGCGTTCAATCCATTATCAAACAATTCGTGTCACCAAAATAATAGAAAACCCTAATTTTCCCTTGAGTCGTGATTGAAAATATATAATATATTTCAAATTAAACCTCCATTTGGTGATTGGTGGCCATATTTGGATTTCAGACAACGAGACGATCCTACCTGATCGGTGCGTGTATCACCACGCGCTCTATTCCGGAGGCGCGTGAACAGAAGTTGCAGAGGTTCTGGCGACGCGTGAGGGTGTGTGAGGCATTTTCTGGCGACGGTTCAACAGGACAGTTTCTTCCTTGGTGAGTTTCTGACATTTTGGTGGTATTAGTTTGGTGATACGTGCACTGTACGGTATATTCCGGTGGTAGTTAGTGTTGGTACGTTGGTCGTTGTTGAGTTTCTTGGACTTTGCTTATTTCTTTTGATTAGTAGTTGATTATTTATTAACTTCATGATGGCAACTGAAAGCGATGATTCACTTCAATCCATTAGTGTTAGATTAAATAGTAAAAATTACTCATATTGGAGTACTGTGATGAGAAATTTTGTAAAAGAAAAAACAATTGAGCCATTAAGGAATTAGGGTTTTCATAAGCTATCTGAACCCACTTCTTATTAAAAAAAAAAAGCTATTCCGGATCCTCTTTGGCAACATGCTACGGCTGATGAACTTTCTGCTCTACATAAGACAGACACTTGGGACTTAGTTGCATTGCCTTTAGGTAAACATGCTATTGGTTCTCGTTGGGTTTATAAGATTAAAATCAAATCTGATGATTCAGTTGAGCGTTACAAGGAGAGATTGGTTGCTAAGAGTTTTACTCAGCAGTATGGTCTCGATTATGAAGAAACTTTTGCTCCTGTTGCCAAGATGACCATTGTCCATACACTTATTGCCATTGCATCTGTTCGTCACTGGAGTCTTTCTCAATTGAATGTCAAAAATGCATTTTTAAATGGAAATCTTCAAGAGAAGGTTTACATGGTTCCTCCTCTTGGTTTTTCTCATTTTCCTGGATTTGTTTGCAAGCTCAAGAATGCACTTTATGGCCTCAAACAAGCACATCGTGCCTGGTTTGAGAAATTTTCCATTGTTGTTACCTCTCTTGGCTTTACATCCAGTCATCATGACTCCGCTCTATTCTTTAGAAGCACTTCTGTTGGTCACATTCTATTATTGTTATATGTTGATGATATGATTATCACTGGTGATGATGATGATGGAATTGCTAGTGTGAAATCAGAATTGGCTTGTCGTTTTAAAATGAAGGACTTGGGTGCATTATCTTATTTTTTGGGGATCGAAGTTGCTTCTTCTCCTAGAGGTTATCTTCTCTCTCAGTCTAAGTAGACTATGGATGTTATTGAGCGTACGCGTCTTAATGACACTAAAATTGTTGATACTCCTCTTGAGTCCAACGCTCGATATTCATCCTCTGACGATGTACTATTGCCTGATCTTACTTTATATCGCATTATGTTGGATGTCTGGTCTATCTTACCATCATACGTCCCGACATTGCTTCTGTTGTTCACATTGTTAGTTAGTTTGTTTCAGCTCCTACTACGGTTCATTGGGCAGCAGTTGCTTTTATTTTACATTATCTCCGTAGTACATGCTTTCAAAGTCTTTTGTTTTCGTCGACCTCCTCTTTAGTACTCCGTGCCTACTCTGATACTGATTGGGCTAGTAACCCCACTGATCGCAAGTCCATTACTGGCTTTTGTATATTTTTAGGTGATTCTCTTATCTCTTGGAAAAGTAAGAAGCAGACTGTTATTTCTCATTCTTCTACGGAGGCAGAGTGTCGAACTATGACCACTGAGATTGTGTGGTTGCGATGGTTACTTGGAGACATGGGTGTTTCTCATTCTTCTCCAACCCCTATGTATTGTAATAATACCAGTGCTATTCAGATTTCTCACAACTCCGTATTCCATGAACGCACAAAGCATATTGAGATTGATTGTCATTTGGTTCGTCATCATTTTTAGATTGGCACCATTTCCCTACCTTTTGTTTCTTCATCATTGTAGCTTGCTGACTTCTTTACTAAGTCTCAGCCGGTTCATCGTTTTTGCTTATTACGTGACAAACTCTCGCTGCTTCTTGCTTCAGCATCATGAGTTTGAAGGAGGATGATAATTTATTTATTTGTTTAATTATTTAATTAATATTTCGTTTTCTTATTAGCTTAGTTTCCTTACTAGCTTATATCTCTTTGTAATATATTGAATCATTGTAAACCCTAATTCCTTAAGTGGCTCAATTGTTTTTTCTCTTCTTCTTTCTCCTTTTTTGATTCTCTATATGTGTTTGATTATATAGATTAGATTATATGTTATCAAATTGTTCCAATGGTCACTTAACTTAAGTTCATGTCTTTGATTAGTCACTGAAATTTAAATATCTTTGATTACTCACTGAACTTATGTGCATGTCTTTGATTGCTCACTAAAGTTTAAAATATCGAGTTTTGCCACTAAACTTTGAAATATGTCGTACTTGACTCACTAGTATAACTGTTAAATTTTGAAAAATATCGTATTTACAGTGAGTAATGTACAGCATTTTAAAAAGTTCAATGAGTAATGTACAATATTTTTCAAAGTTCAGTGAGTAATGTAAAACATTTTTCAAAATTTGATGGCCAAAACTCGACATTTTAAACTTCGATCAGCAATCAAAGACATGGACCTAAGTTTAGTGACCATTGGAACAATTAACTCGATATATATAACAAGAAAAAATTATTAGTAAATTAATCTTCCATTTTGAGATGTTAACATTTACAAATTATTTATATTTTCATCTTATAACTTACAATTTTTGTATTACTAAATATAATATGATCATATTTATTTGAAATTTTTCAAATTATTATTCATTAATTTAGCAAAATTTTTGAAATCTTTTTTTGCCGGGACCTTAATAAAGATACCAATATCCCCCAACAAAATGTTGTAAAGAATTCCCTATTTGCTAAAGTATTGGGTAAATTTTTTGGGAAGATTTTGTTATTTTGTAGTTGAGAATTAATTAGCACACTTAATATTATGAATAATTTCTTCCAATCACACCATTAAATGTTTTGCAGAATTACCTATTTAATGATGCACTAGACAAATTATTTGGGAAGAAAAAATTCGTCACTTTGTAGTATAATATTGATGTTGACACTTAATGTTATGAAAAATGTTTTCCAATCACACCCCTAAAACGTTTCTCGTCAGTTCCAACAATTCAATTGTCGAAAAAAACTGTCAAATTCAACATTTTCAAAAATTTTGAGATAGGCATTTCAACTGTCGATTACACCTATTTGCTATGTTAGAATTTTAAGTATCATGCTATTAAATCATATATTAATTGTGTAAAATGCTTGTCATTTCAATCTCAACCTTTTAGTCTACGGATTAAGAAATACTATCAGTGGGGAAGAGTTGAGCATAATTGGACCACACATTCAAACCCTGTTCAAACACAAAGCACAATAGAAATGATGTTCAAAGGTTGAAGTTGTATTTTGCATCCCACAATGATGACATTAAAAATTAAGAAATTGAGCTATATTACAATCAAATTTTACCTTGAAAAACGCAAAGTTTAAGTTTCACCAAATTTTAAATAATAATAATAATAATAATAATAATCACTACTAGGAACTATAAAACAAATTTAAAGTAGAAAACTACACAAAACCTTTACGTTGCCAATCATTGTAAAAAAATACAGTAAAAAATACTATAACATATGTAACTACTCAAAACAACATGTATGGTTTCCTTGAGAAAAAAAGGACTATTTCCCCTAGTTAAATCATAGAATGTAAAATCGGCAAGTAACCTCTCAAAATTCCATCTAGATCACGCAGCCATTGAAATTTGTTTGAAAGCATCCTCAGCATTTACCTTTTTTGGAACAAAATCTACACACAAAGCAAAGTAAATTAATTTGAAAAGCCTCTAGAAGTTAGATATGAAGATGCTCACAATAAGTCTATTAGATGAATGATAAGTTTCTGATAGAAAGTCAAATCTCCTTCGTTTGGACACGATTGACGTAGAATTGAACGCTACATGCATTGAAAGGACATGTGAAAGTAAATCTAAAATAGACACTAAAGTTTTCTCCTCTTTGTGGAACATTCATTTGCCAAAATATGTTTCTTGATATGAAACATTACACAGATATTTGTATTCGATATGTTTCTTGATTTAACGTTTCTTGACTCTCTTTGTCCCCTCGTGAATGGAGTTCTAGCTGATGCAGTAAGCACTCGAACGCGTATCGATTGTCATTTCTTTGTGTTAACAACACCGTCACCTTGAATGGGTATGTAGATGTCAATGGTACATTAGTTTTGTACTCCTATACTAAAGTAATTTGAGTCGTTTTAATTACCAAAATTTAACAATGGAAGAAGATAACAAATTCTACCAACATTTAAAGTATTACATCAAAATTATACATTAGCCTTCAACTAAACTTGCTTAAATTATAATATCAAAATTGGACATTGTAT